GTTGGGGGTGGTTGGGGGGCTGGTTTGAGGGTAGAGACAAAATAAATTAATTTTTTAAACAAAAAAAAAATTATAATTTGAAGTTGGAAAAGTGTTTTGGAAATATTTTTCTTAAATTTTGAAGAAAAGTCATTTTCCTTAAATTTGAGAAAAATGAGTTGATTTGAATAATACTTTCCAAAACATTTAACCAACCAACATGAGAAAATTGGAAAACATTTTACGAAAAATATTTTCCTTCATAACAAACACACCCTATATTTTATGATGTCAAAATTTGTTCAGTTGGTAAGCATATCATGCACCTAGTGAGAGCTTGAGGTGTTGTTATGGTATGTTACCAAGACTCATAAATTACTGGTAGCTAGAGATTTCGTTCTAGACAAAATACTTGGTGTACATTCACAGTCCTTCGGTCCATCTTAGAATAAGTATAGTTTTATAATTTTCGTATTAAGATGGTGGTATTAATCCAAGTGGGTTCAACCCATAAAAGGCGAGAATTAAAAACTTAATTTGTTCTGAAGATGGGAGAATACCTTGAAGGCTCCAGTGGTTTGGTTGAAGTAGGTTTGACATTGAAGTTTCCCAATATTTGAAATTTAGAGGTTTGTTTGCGTTTTCTCTTGAAGATCTGAAGGTGGTTCAACCCTTTGATTTGAGGGGAAAAAAAACAAAGAAAACACAAATTAAGAATGAAAAAATTGGGAAAATCCATAGGTATAATAAGATATTTACCTGCAAAGTGATGAATCCAGGTCTTCATGAACACTTTAGTGATGGATCTCCAACAAAGCATCGAGTTATGAAATATACAACAATGGCGGATTGGGCAAATAAAGATGAAGGATTTGAACACCTTCCTGCAACTTTTCAGCTGACTTTCCATTTTGTTCTTAATTCTTTTTCATTGTAGTTGAGTTTTGGACCGGGTCACTTTTGGACCTGGCCTGGTATTGTCTTTTATGTTATTCTTCTTACATAAATTGGGCATGGGCCCACCTTTAAATTAAAAAAAAAGTTGATTCAATATTCTGGAGATCTCAACATTTTATCAATAGATTTTTCGATAAAATTATACCTTAAAATATTGAGAAATTATTTTTCAAAAAATAAACCAATATTTCATAGTCAAAACTAATCAATTACCATTTTCTTTAACTTGAACTTTAAATTACTCAATGATGCATTAGAAAATTTTATAAAGAGCAGAGAAAGTGTGATATTTAAAGTAATGATTATTGATGGATTTAGACTTAAAGTTTTAATAGTTGGGCTAAAATTCAAGTGTTGGACTTCAAAAAATAGTAAACTTAAGACTTAAGTTCATTAAAACTTATCAAAATACTTATATTTTATTTAGAAATAATTATAAAATTTATATATATAACTTCTCGATTCGATTTGATTATTTTTGCAGTTAATTTTTAGTAAAATCAAAATCAAACCAAATAGGATCGATTTTTCAAAATTTAAAACTAAATCAAACCAAATATCGATTTAGTTCGAATTACAGTTCAATTTAATTTTATAACTATAACCATGAACAACCTTATGACTATATCTATTTATCTATCTATAATCTATAATCTATCATACATTAAAAGCATTAGCTCCTTACCTTTTGAAAGTTAGATTACAAAAATACCTTCCTAACTTAAATATCTTATTTAATAAAATTTAAAACTAAGAGACTGAATGCTTCATCACACGGTTTGGAATATACGCTGCTGTTGCCATTCGACCACTGATCTGACTTTTTGCAGGCATAGCGGACAAACCAAATTTGAATTTAATATATGCTCTTATCTATTCTGATATGCCTTTATATTTCTTTTGCAATCATATATGCTCTTATTCTGTTCTTAATTTTTAATGTGGAAATAATTATTAATAGAAACATATGATCTCAAAGTTTTGATGCTCACCATTAACATTCACCGTCTAAACGATATTGTAAGTTCAAAGAAAGGAACAGATAGAGAGATCTCGATACTTTTAGTTCTGTAAAAAAATTTTTTTGTTGTGATCTCCATGATTTCAAGTGTCTGTCCTCTTTATTGAATGACGATTGAGTTAATTTAACTTTTATCTTTCGTTTCTTTCTTGAGAAATTTTTTTTTTCTTGATATGTAATCCTACTTTCAACTGCTTAATGAATAGGATGACCTTGCACTCGTGCCTGTTGTCTTTTTCTTTTTTCAGAACTATATCATGTTGTTCATCTTGTATTTCTAAAATACTTATAACAAATTTTTGAAAAATTTGGTAAGAAACAACAAAGTTTAAAGAGTATTTTCAAACTAAAAATTTAAAACTAGTAGAGAAAATAAAATCAGAAACAGATTAGAACGATTTTACTCACCAGTGTATCGGTACCTAAAACCACGGTGTCAGCGAACCACTCAACGACAATAAAGTACACTTAGAATACTAGATTAAGTAGTAGTAGAAAAAGTCCAGAAAAATTCGTTCAACTAAAATGAGAGGAAATCCCTCAATTTATAGAAAACAAAGAGTAGTATGAAAAAGTTCTTATTGTGCCTTACCGGAAATGTCACAAACCTTTGGAAAAGTCACAATCTTTCAAGAAGGTCACAACCTTTCATAAAAGTCAAACTTTTCATAAAAGTCACAACTTTTCATAAAAGTCGCAACTTTTCATAAAAGTCACAACTCTTCATAAAAATCGCAACTCTTCCTTTTCCATTCACACCTTTGAAAACCCAACAATCCCTCGCATGAATGGGGAATTACTCCAAGACAAAGAAACAAACAAGTATGTGTACTTTACAAGCAAAAATTAATTGCATCTGGATAAGTAGGTTTCCCCTTGGACTTTCCATAGTGAACATATGTCGGATATACTCGGTCAATCGGTAGATGCGATATCTTTTAACCATCGAGTTTTGGTGTATACCTAGACAACCATATGTCACACAATTAACTCTTTACCATTTATGGTTCTTACGGTTGTATTCGTTTCAGCAATGAACACCTCCAGTTGTATGAGTGTATAGAGAATAGGCTTTTGACAATAATTCTCTTTGAAGCGGCTTACACTTCACACTCACATAAGTGATTTCTAACCGTGTCATTGCGTAGATACACTATTTGGTCAAGTCTGCCAAACTTAGCAAATCATTAAAAACTTAAGCTTTATAACTCATTAACAAGCCTTAATGTTTTAACCTCGTTCCTGAACATTGTCTTCATCATGAGAATGGATTGAGTTGATTGACAATGTCGAACCGTCAGTCACAACTTTGTTTTTCTCCTTGAATCTAGCTCTTGGGATCTCCAGTCTGCTAGATAGAGTTACCGCCATGATGACTTGTCCTAAGCCGTAAACCCATTCCCTTAGATGATCTTTCAACTTTCTCTCTAGTTAGGCCTTTTTGTAAGTGGATCCGACACATTATCCTTTGACTTTACATAGTCAATTGTGATAAATCCAGTAGAGAGTAGTTGTTTTCTAAAGGTATTATGTCTATATCTTATATGATGAGAATTTCCGTTAAACATCATGCTCCATGCCCTACCTATTGCATCTTGACTATCAAAGTGTATGCATACTGATGCCAAAGGTTTGAACCAAAAAGAATATCTATCAAGAAATTCCGGAGTCTTTCAACTTATTCACCGGCCTTATCTAGAGCACCTAGCTCAGAGATCATTGTAGAGCTAGCGATACATGTCTTTTTGGAAGATTTTCAAGAGACTGCTCCTCCACCAAGAGTAAATATATATCCACTCATGTATTTTACTTCATTTGATCCCGGTGATCCAATTTGCATCACTATATCCTTTCAATACTGCTGGATATTGTTATAATGCAGGACATAGTTTTGAGTATGTTTTAAATACTCCAAAACTATTTTCATTGCCATCCAATGAGCTTGATTGGGATTACTCGTTAACCGACTCAGTTTACTAATTGCACATACTATATCTGATCGCGTACACTTCTTGGTAAACATCATACTTCCCATTACTCTAGCACAATCCAATTGTGAGTCACTTTCGCCTTCACTCATTTGAAATGCAAAACTCACATTTATTAGAGTCTTGACAATATTGAAATTCAAATATTTGAACTAGTCAAGTTCCGTTTTGATGCATTGAGACCGTGACAATGCTAAACATTATAGCGTTCTAAGGAATCTTATACCTAAGATTGCATAAAAAACTCCAAGATCTTTCATATCAAACTTGCTTTCTAGCATAAATTTAGTAGCATTTATGTCATTAATGTCTCTATTGATGATCAATATGCATGTCATTAATATACAAACAAACAATGACCGTGTGATTTTAATGTAAACACATTTATCATTTCCATCATTCTTAAATCCATTTGCCAACATGGTTTGGTCAGATTTCTTATGTCATTGTTTGGGTGCTTGTTTTAGTCCATAAAGTGACTTAACAAGTTCGCAAACTTTCTTTTCTTTACCAGGAACCACAAAACCCTTGGATTGTTCCATGTAAATTTCTTCCTCCGATTCTCCTTTTAAGAAAGTTGTTTTCACATTCATTTGATGAATTTGGAGGTCATATACCACAACTAATAATATTAACATCCGAATGGATGTAATTCTAGTTACTGACAAGTATATATCGACAAGATCAAGACCTTGTTTTTGTCTAAAGCCTGTGAAAAAAAGTCTTGCTTTATATTTGTCAACAGTTCCATCGATTTTCATTTTCCTTCTGAAGATTCACTTTGAACCCAAAGGTTTATTTTCTAGAGAAGATCAATTAACTTTCAATATGGTTGTTCAAGATTGCATCAATCTCACTATTGACACCATCTTTCCAGAAGGATGAGTCTACATAAGACACAAGAAATGTTACAAAATCATATTCAAAGGAAGTAGATGTCCTTTGACTATTTACTACGTCTTCTGAATCTCTTTATTAAGTACATTCTCTTTTTTTTCTATTTTCAAGGTCTTTTAGACCCTTCACTAGACTACTCAAGTCTAATTTTACAGTCCACAATCATAGGTCCTAAATTAATCCTTTTAGGAATAGGAACTTGGACTTTGTCTAGACACCCCACACTTTGAAGTATTTCAAGTTGGATTTCTTTCCTTTCCGTTGCTCATATGAAATAGATTGTGTCCTGAACAAACAAAATTGCTTTCTTTCTGAAAGATAAAACTTTTTGTTGTTCCCTTTTGCAGTAAGGATAGTTCCTCCATGCAAGTCTTGTGGTAAACCCCAACTTATAAATAATGCAACCATCATTTTCTTCAAAGTTCGGTTATTTTTTTTCATTCTGCAATTCCATTAGATTTAGGTGAATATAACAGTAGTTTGATGGATAAATTCATTTTCCAAACATATTTCCGCAAAAGGAGAATTATATTCTCCATCCCTATCACTTCTTATCTTTTTCCCAAATGATTTTCAACTTCAATATTATATTGTCTAGACATTTCTATTGCTTCATCCTTACCATTCAACAAATAGACATAGTCATTTCTAATGCAATTGTCAATGAAAGTTACGAAATACTTTTTTCCACCATGAGATGGTGTTGACTTCATATCACAAATGTCAGTGTAAATCAACTCTAAGGGATTAGAATTC